AGCAGTCAGAAAATTTCTTACTTAATTAGACCTTCTGATCATCCTTAAACTAAACATACAATTTAATTCTTGTAATTTTAGCCCTGTTAAAACTGCGTTTGTTCTGTATTTGTAACAGATCATACAAATGCTACAAACTTCCATAGTAAATAAATATTTTATTCTTAAAGTTTGCAACTTTTCCTTGAACTTCAAAGTAATTATTCTTTATTAAAGAGTAATGCACTTCTCCCTCCGTATCCCCAGATAATACGTCTAATACATCGGATAAAAACGAACACTATGTAAAATAAGGTATTCACATAATATCCGTAGCTACACTGAAGTTCATTGATAAATTTCGTAACTAAGACATTAGCAATATTAAATAATATAAAAATAAAATATCACAGCAAGCATGATATATTGTTAAATAAAATAATGTAAAATAGTTTATTATATGCTAGGATTCGAATAAATTCGAATCTATAAAAATGTAGAGAGAGAAATAAAAAATGCAATTCGTATGGTGCACACCATAATATAATGCTTCAAAATAATGTTAGAAATGATAATAATTTATTTTCTTAGCACTAATAATACCACACTAGTAATTTTCCAAGAATTTGTAGGATATGTTTCAGCGGTAACTGCGATAACACATTAGAGATAAGAATAGGGTGAACATTAGAAGCAAGAATGACAGTTTAAAAAGAATGTTTGGTTTGATTTATTTGATTATGACAATGTACTCTTGGGCTTTCTGCTTAAAAGGAGGGATGCATTCGAAGGGAACTTTCTAAGAGAAACTGGCTCGTATTCAGGTTACACATGGAGAAAACTATTATAAAAAAGGAAGATATTTTAGCTATATTACGGACTGCTGTCACTTTGTTTACCTTACGAAAGTTACGGAATTTGCAACATTTCTTCCCCATCTTTGAACCGCTGTGAATCGCAGATATGTGAAATTGCGGTCACTGAATCAACACATATGAAAACAAGACTACATAAAATGCCTTGCTAATACACAAATTAAAAAGGCAAAAGGCAATTGTTATTACATTTAACATGGTGCTCAGCATAACATCATGGTAGGATAGCCATTTAAATTAAAATGACTAATATAATCCATGCTCTAGATATGTAGCAAAAGAATGGTGAGAAGCACCACAGCCATAATGCTTTAAATCTCTCTTTGGTTGTTAAAACTGGAGGTAAAAGTCTTTAGATAGCTCAAACGTTAATAAATTTTATAAATATCAGTCTTGACAAAAGAAGGTGATAGACGATTGCCATGTGTACAAGGAACAGTATACAAGGAACAGGATACAAGGAACAGTATTTGAAGATCTACCCATTTATCTTGCCAACAATTCTTACGTAAACACTTATGAGATGGCAGATTCCAAGAATCATAACCTCGAACATATGTAGCAATCAAGGACATCCAGTCCTATTCTGGGATTCGAACCTAGGCCAAACTGACTGGTATTCGAGCTTAGAGCAAAAATCTAATACAGATAGATGATGTTCATTTAACGATGACATAAATTATGCAGAAAAAAAAAAGATGTTATAACAAATTCTCGCTATATTAAAAAAGGACTTCCTATAATCTCATTAGATGGGAACTTTTCGTGGTCATGCCATTAGATGGGGTCACGGCAGACAGACAGACAGAAAGAAGTACAGGGGGCACCAAAACATCGCCATGGGCAAAACTGGTATCGCCCCATTGCACTAACCGTCTATGGAAGTGCACCCTCACGGGGCACGTACATTGCAGCATTCATAATCGTTACATACTAATGGTGCATAAGGAATGGTCGCTATAGCAAGTAACTCTTCTAAGCAAAAGTAAACCACCTTTTTTTTTTTTCCTTCTTCTTCTCAGGATATCCAATCAAACCGCCTAAGGACGAAAGCATGTTAAAATTGCTCCTGCTATTTGAAGTCAGGCAGCTTGTTTAGTGATTGCTAATCTCTAATTCAACTGTTCAGATCAGTTAAATCACCAACACCTTTTTTTGCGGAAATTGATGAGTGAGAATCAGTTTAATTAAATGCATTAAACTGCGACTGGTATTTTACGCATTCAGATTTTCTATTTTTGAGCTGAAAAATTCATTTCAATAATGTAGCAACATGCATATATTAATAAAATATAGCCAATACTAGACGCTTCAGTAGCGCAGTAGCCAGCTCGTCAAGTCTCATAGCCAGTACTTATATACAAAAAAGCTATTAACTTCGCTGCACACAGTTCACTATTCTACTTTTGTACTCATTTTCAAATATGTACTTTTTTCTGTTTTCTCATATCATTAATTATCTGGTAGTTTATTCAACAAAAGCTGGATTCAAAAGGTTAATTAAGATGAAGTTCTGTCTACCAAACATAAGTTAATTGGTTAAGGCAAAGCAACTCAAGGGCTGTCATTCTCTGAGGAGGGATGACTTCGTGGAGGACTTTTGAGGAAAACTGGCTCGTATCCATACTACATGCGCGGAAAATCACAAAAACTCTCACGAATTCAGCCTGTTCCCCGGCATTTGAACCCGGGTCGAGCTACCAGTTCGGCGACTTAATTAAATATCCTTCGGTGGTGGCGGGCCTGATTGCCGAAGAATTTATTTTTATTTCCGTTGCATACAAACTACAGGTTTTTCACTGCAGAACTCGTATGCATTTCAATATCCATGATATTGGATAAATATTTAAAGAATGTTACTAGTGTGTAATGTAATCAATGCGTGTACTTTTGTCAATACCGATATTTGTAAATAGGTCTCAGATTGGAATGCATTTCTTCTCTTAATAGAGCTATCTCTACAAAATAGCATTTATAAATTATTAAGTAATCATCTTTATGTTAAACCGAACATATGCAACATTCATGAATACATAAAATGTCAAACATGTGCTAACATATTTTGCCAAATATAAATTTACCTTGTACACAAAGTATGTTTCTCGTGCATGTGCTTTGTTCACAAAGTATTTGTAGTTCAAAGGGGCTTTGTCCCTGAGGGACTATTGTTTTCGTTTTGCGATTTTGCATTGAATCACGCTGAATGTCCGTTTCACTTTTCAAACTGTTGCCACTAAATACTATCTCCCTGTATTATATTTGAAGAAATAAAATAATGAAGAATCTGCATAAATATATGTATGTTTCTTGCATTGCGATAAAACAACGGTACCTAGAGCCATCGAATTTTGAACGACGTAATCCTACTGCGAATATGGGCATTTGGAAGACAAAATTTGAAATTTGGAATTTGTTTTATGATCGGTTTCATATTTTGTAAAACTTTAATGAATATTTGATTAACAAACTCAACGATTTAAAAGCAAGCAATGGCAACACTCTACGGGAGTGGAAAAAAAAAACTTTTTTATCTCCAGCGCGCGGAACTGTGTATGGGAAATTCTAAAGATATGCTCATTTTAAAATTATTTTTCGACATTGCTGTTGAACTGAATTTTATGGTTTAAGTGCAAAGAGCATGATAATAAATAAATAAAGGTAACACACGAAACGTTAAAAAAACGCCTCTTTGGACTAATTTAAAATTTGAAACCTTTCAGATATTTTTAAATATAAATATAGTCCCACAAAATATTAACATTCTTTTTTACTTTGGGTTGCTTTATTTGGTATTTTCAAAGCCCACAAGGGTTATCTGCTCAAGGGAGAATACCTTTGTGAGAACATTCTGTGGAAAGTAAGCTTGTATCCCCATTATGCATCTAGAAAACGAGGAAAATGTCCATGCATCCAGCTCGTGCACCTGGAGTCTAGCCCAGATCGAACTACCAGTATTAAAAGACATAACCGCTTGTAAGGTGGTGGGTTATTTCTTTAATCTGTGAATTTCCTAATAAAATTTTATTAACCTGAAACATATAATTTAATATAATATTTTTTGTGTTCTGGTGTGCCAGACATATATTTGAGAAACTTTTTCCCTTTTTTATCCTGTATGACATATTCCTGATAAATATTACAAAGTATGGTATATTATCATGTGCTAAAATTTTATTTAGTTAACATTATATACTATATACTGTAATTTTATTATAAATCAAAGTGAAATTTTCATTGCAGTTAAAAAATGGTTTAATTCTTTAACTATGACTTTTCATCATTTATTGGTCATATAATTTATTTTACTGAGCAAAATGGAAGACCATACTTAATACCAGTGATATTAAAAACAAAGAAGCTTGAGCAAATGTTTTCCAGGTGTAAATATTTTCCACTTTGAGAAAAAGTTCTACTCAATAAAGACATAGAAGTCTCAAAATGCTTTGACACAGATTATCATTACTTCTTCATAATGAGATCTATTACTGGAAAACTTACAGTCTAGTAACATAAAAATTTATTCCATCTAGTAAAGTAAAATTCGTAATCATCATTCGAAAGGAGTAAAGACATTTAAAACTATTGTTAGAGCGTTTGAAAAGCTTATAAATTATTTTTTGACTCATTATATAATTAAACTCAAAATACTCCATTATGTGTATCACTTAAGTTGCCTATGTGTAATAAATGAATCAAATCTTTAAAAAAATGGATTGGCTTTATTAAAAATATATTTAAATTTTACAACTAAACAGACTTTAAAAGCGCTATCCTTAGAATTAAAAATGGAAACTTGACGTTTCACCACTTTGAAGAACAGTTATTTAAAACAACATTTTAATAGACATGTACAATTTGGAAAATTAAACATGTATATTACATTTCAAGAACTACTTTCAAATCTATCTCGGTAATTTAAGAACAATTACATTTTTTTCATTAATTTTTGAAATATTGCATATAAAATGAAAATTAGCGCTATTTAGTTTAGAAATGCAAGTGACTCCGAAAATCCTTAAATATTAAAATATTTGCCTTAATTGAAAAATCTTTAAATTAATTTGTAATAAAATACGTAGATTTTTTCCGCCCTTATTAGAAGTTAACATAATGTCATGTTCGATGTATGAATAATACGCTACTTACGTAAATAGATCTGTATTCGTTTCCGTAAAATACGATGGGCACCGTAAGCGGTATTTCTGGAGAGCTGACATCATCTTGAGCGGGTAATGATTGATCTCCTCTTCCAAATGGAAATAATTCAGATTTTGGCAAGGCAATCGAACCACCCACAAACAGAAGCAGGAGCAAAAACTTGGTGACCGCCATATTTGCGGGTTTTGACATCGTATAACTATATCACGGGCAGTTCAAGACGCAGGAATGATCTTATCCGCAAAGCTAAAGTCTCGGCCAAAGGTAGCTCCTTGATTATCACATTTTGGTGTTTGCTTTATTCTCGACATACAAATCAAAGTCTGTATCAGAGCATGAGAACAAGATCATGAAAAATAACAATTCTCACTTGCCTTATTTTTACTGTCGCAAAAATTGGCACGTGAAATTTCCAAGTGCTGCTGATTAACTTCAGGATATTCCCCACGCGTTCAGCTGCACGAGGAAATATAAGCAATACCTTTTCAAGAAAACAATGTTATATGCTCATAAACTAAAAAGTTTGATTTAAGATGCTGAAGAAACAAGGTTTTTAAAGTGAGAGTCTGCATCTCAAGAAAGTGATTGACCAATCAATCATTTAAGCTATCTGCATAACCGTCTAGTGTCATTAAAGTTCATTAAAACAGATAATACATGCTTCCAAGAAGAGTCAACAAGCTAAAAATTAGAAACTTAGTTTTGACCTTATTTTTTATCTCTTAGATTAAAGTTTAAAAACTGAAGCAGAGTGATCCAAAATCAGTGAATTCAAAAAAATGTTTTCATTTCTTTAAATTTTTGCATAAAAGTAATTTTTTAAAAGGTAAATTTTTCGGTACTCTTCTGATATCAGGACCGGATTTAGGAATGTATGTATGTATACACTTGTGTATGCATGTATGCTCGAATACATGTGTGTACTCACATAGACACAAATGTATGTACATATATATATATATGCGTACACACATCCATCCATCCATACATGCATACGTTTCTGCACCCTCTCCTGATAACAGAACAGTACCAATTTTTCTATATGACTTTATTTTTAATATGACTTTATTCTTTTTAATTTTGACTTTATTCTTTTTAATATGACTTATTCTTATTTCTATATGACTTTTATTCTTTATTTTTAATTTACGGTGGTCTCTTTGAAATAATATTGTCACAAATTCAAATTATGTGGACCTGAATGATAAAGAAAATGAATCATAACCTCGAAGAAAAGTATTAAATTTTTTTATATTCGTGCAAGAGAACATAACTCCATTTTGCTTCCACTAATAAACAGTCGCTCTCCGTCTGAATGACAAATATGGATCCCCAGATATGTTATGAGCTACCTGAAGTCATGGGTATGTAGGTATTCAGTGTCACTTAACAACTAAAATGATACTATTGTTCTCCTTGTTCAATAATTTCTAGAAAGATTCTAATTTTGCTATCCATACGTCTTTCGCTCATCTTAAGACATTGCTCCGGCGTAATAGCTGTCATATTTTCGATATTAAGAGATAGTTTATGTTTTTTTAATGGAAATAACTGCCATCTTTGAACATAAATATAATTTAAAATGTGTATAGGAAACTTCCTTAGAACATCCTTTCTTCATTTTATGTATTTTTGCGCTAATTGCCTCACTACTCCTTGAAAACTTGCCGGTCTGCAATTCACAAAGTTTAAGGATTTCCAGATGTCGTACAACAATAGCGTGTTTCCTTTGCAAATAGCAGGAAAGAAGCATTTTGTCCCGTGGCATTTCATACTAAAGATATATCTTACATTCAAAGCTTAGCAACGAGTAGGAAAACACAAAAAACTGATTACTGCTATAAACTAGAGCAGTTGGTTTCGGCTTCTGAAGTACAGTTTGGATCTTCATCAGCTGTTCTGGTTAACAATTCATTTCATCATCAAAAATTCTAATTTGAATTTATGTCAACATCTATGTTACTGAATATTACAGTCTAAGCATACGGACCATTGGAGTGGGCATTCTGCCAAAGTAAGAAAAAGGAATAAAAGACGCTATTTTCGGAATTCCCCCCATTCGAAGCTCAAGTATGATCTTATACCGAAAGTAAGATGAAAGACAGCATAATCTTTATATTAAATTACGCAGTCAAAAGTTAAGGCATTATTAGATTGACATTTCTTATACACAAAGTGTTGAATACTTCACATTATCGCAATTACAAGCAATGCATTTACGCAATCATTTAACCCAGTGTGGTCCAACTTTTAGTTACCCTACCTTTTAGTTTGATTTTAGTCAATCAAACGTTATTATAGGAGAGTGAGGGCCTGAGACATTAAAGAAAGAAAAAAAATTACATATAAATCACTAGTTTAATATATCACTTTATTTTACAGTCAAGAAATCAATGTGATGACTGGCAATGCTTTTTTTATACACTTTTATCAATATCCACTGTAATAACAGTAACCTAATGAAATCCCTGCCCACAACATAATGCTTCCACCTCGGAATGCGTGATGTTCGGTGATGTTTTGGGACTGACTGCGTGTTCGTTGTTCACATCATAGCCTTATACGATTGTCATCTGGCTCCAGAGCAAATCTTGACTCATCAGTAAACATGACATTGCCCCAGTCAGACACATTCCAATTGACATGTTCTCGGCACCACTGTAATCGTGTCCCTCTTGATTGGATGAATAGAGGAACACGAACTCGAGGTACCCGGGCGTACAGTCCACTCATATGTAATCTTCGGCGTACAGTAGCTCAAGATATCGCCTTACCAATGGATGCTGTAACCATAGATGTCACACGTGCGGAGGTCGCTCGGCGATTTCCCTTGGCTAATCTGCAATTTCATTCATCATTCTGTAATTCATCATTCATTATCTTACAATCAACTTCTGTAACCCTTCACAAAGCTGGCCTTCTATAAGATTCTTATTGTCTAAGCTTTATAATTTTTATTACTGAATTTTTATATTTAATAAAATATAATTATTTATATTTATTATTTATTATTTTATAAGGTATTTCTCCTGCCTTCCTAGCGTGCCTTCGTGATGTATTAGTTACCCACGCTGGGCCGGTAGAGGTCCGTGGTTCGATTCTCGACGAAGGAGATCGCATATTTCTCATCTTGCCTGCTTCCAAAAAAATACCTAATGCCTTCCAAAAAATACAGTGGCACTCGAACTAAAAGGGTGTTGGATGAGGATTCTCCACACCCAAGATTTGGCGACTGGATCCCCTAAAAACCGCAGTCGCCCTTTTAAAGGAGGAGTATGTAAGGTATTTCTCCTGCCTTCCTAGAGTGCCTTTGTGGTGTAGTGGTTCTGCACACTGGGCCGGTATTCAAGAGGTCCTCGGTTCGATTCCCGGCGAAGGCGTTGTTAATTTTTCATTTCGCTTGCTTCCAAAAATCCTAATGTCTCGACAGTGGCGCCTGAACTAAAAGGTTGTTGGATAATGATTCTCTTCACCCAGGATTTGGCGATGGTGTCCCCTAAAAACCCCAGTCGCCCATTAAAAGGGGGAATATATAAGGTATTTCTCCCCCCTTCCTATCATGCCTTTTTTGTGTAGTGGTCAGCACACTGAGCCGGTATTTCAGAAGTCCGTGGTCCGGCTTTTCCAATAAACCTAATGTCTCTACAATTTAAAGCAGTAAGATGGGTCTTTTGCTTTACCAAATGTTTAACTAACTTTTTTTTTCCAGTACGAAGTACAAGTGCCAACAAAATGAATAAGAGGGCCACATGTGGTCCGTAGGCCGTGGGTTGGACCACGGTGGTTTAACCCAACTCTCTAATCTTCAGCAGAAAAGTTTAGGTATACGCCTGATGAAAGTTTTTGAGCTGTTAGACATTTTTTAATCTTTGACTATCTGTTCACACTGCTTTTGTTAAACTTACTAAATTAACCCATTAAACTTTTAAACTCACTAAGCTTCTGACCTGAACCTGAACTCTTCCGAGGATACGGTATAAGCTGCATTTTCTTTTGTCAAGAACTGCTATCGCAGAACAGATGACATTTAATTTCTACTTAAATTTCAAACTCTATCAGGAAAGATATTTGTCTGTTTTATAATTCAAAAATTCCCCATCCCTTTTCAAAAAATATCTGGAAGAAAGTTAATATTTTGTTTTAAATAATGGTATACATTTAAGTTTCGTAGTTCTGGGTGTTCAATTCCTAACTTTTAGTTTTTTAAACGTTGTTATTACATAGTTTCAAGTAATTATGTTTCTCTGTGTGTAGTTTCAAATACTTCTCTAGGTGCTTCCTGATTTAAAATTTTTAGGATTCTGTTATTGAATAGCTTATGGCGTAAGTGCGAAGATAATGATTCTTAATAATAAAGCTAAAAAAACAAAAATAAATGGGTAAGCAGGAGTTAGTACAATGCATGGGTTAGCAGTAAACTGTTAAACTGCAAGCTTATGGAGAGCGTAAAAAAACCTTACAAATCCCTTTGGGAGATCTTTAAAATCTGAAAACCTTTTAGATTTTGTTTGAATGTTACTCAATGTTTAAAATATGGTATGGTGTATATAACGATTTTTACAGAAAGATCATAGTTTCCTCTAGTACCAACGTCTCCAATAAAAGCAAACATAAAATGAATTCATTTGCTATTTGAGCTAATGTCAGTGCTGCCAGTCTATACCGAGCAATGGAATAACAGATCAAAATAAACAATAAGCAGCTTTGTGTAATGAAAAATTAAATCCTTTAAAACTATTTTCTTCATTTCAAGCCTTTTAGAAGCATAACTATAAGTAATTGTCACATTAAAGAAATTCTGTTGTTGTTGTCGTTGCTGTTACCAATCTCACTTGTCTGGCAATAGTCAGCACAAGCCCGCGACATTCATCGTTGCAAGGAGTCAAACATCGTTGGCAAGAGCCTTGAGCAACATAGAGATAGATGACTGCTCGACTTTAGCCCAACGCCCATCCCTTTTCCTCTACCATCAACGTCTCGAAAGGACTTTCGTGTCGCCGCATATTTAGAGTGCCTTATGTCGCTCAGACACTATGTATTTACAAACATTCATTCCTTCTAAGGGATTTGAACCTGGGCCCTTCGGTACGGCAGTCAGAATCACTAACCACTATTGCAGTTGGGCGGATTAAGGAAATTCTAACAACGAGCAGATGTATTCAGTGCAGTTTATTGTATAATTCTTGTGGCATTTGAAATATAGATGCGGCAGATTG